TAGCATTTCCAAATAAATGTGAACGACTCGAAGAAAATGGTGGGTTTTTTTTCTTTTTTGGGGGGGGGAGGAAGTCCCAGACAAGCAAAAAGACAGACATTTGGGGAGACAGTAAACATGTCGAAGCATAAGGACATGGTGCGAAAAACTTTTTGAAGAAAATTAATTTTATTGACTGCTCTCTTCATGAAAATATAAAATATACTTAGGCATTTATTTCTTGGGCAAATTTAATTGATCATATTATGGGGACAGACTATTTCAATTTTGTTTGTTTATCAGACTATGATTCGAGGCGTGTATGTGTGTTTGTTTTTGGAAGAGACGTCTTTATCACAATATTTATAATATTATCATTCAGTTTAACTAGAAATACGATTGAGCATATTTCATGAATTCAGAGAGACAGACAGACAGACAGAGACAGAGAGACAGAGACAGAGAGAGACAGAGAGAGAGATTTTATTTGTGAAGTAAATAACAATCAGTAATACAAATACAATCATGAACAATGAAAATCTTAACAGCTTCTTAAGAAAAGAAACTATGAAGCAGCAAACAGAGAATATAAACACGATTATGTCAACGCTGTAATCCAACTCAGAAGTAAAAAAAAAAAACAATTTCTGGCGTTTAGGAAAATATGAACATATGATTCCTTATTCTACATACTGAGAACAAATGAGCTAGAGGACAGGAGTACATACGCTTTCCTCGTATCAATAAGTACAGGAATACAGACGCTTGCACCGTATAATCGCATCATTGAGTACAAGAGGACAGACGCTTACACCGACCGTATCATTGAATACAGGAGGACAATCGCTTACACCATATCATCGAGTACAGAAGTACAGACGCTTACGCGGGCGGTATCATTAAGTACAGGAGTATAGACGCCTACACCGTATCATTGAGTACAGGAGTACAGACGCTTACACTGTATCATTAAGCATACGTATTAGATGAGTAATAGGTGCACAAAACACATTGGATAACATGGTGGTGGCCGGTCAAACGTTTCTGGGTTACTTTTTCTACACGGAAGCAACAGTTGTATTACAACTAAATATGTTTCAGACAATGAAACTAAGTAAAAGAAAACGTGCACTTCAGCACAAAAACGTATCCCAGTTTGGTGCAAGGAAGCTACATGCCCCTATGAAAAGCTCTACGACAGAAGTACACAAAGCACGACGGCGAGTACAAACGACATGATCCGCAGATAAAAGCAACTTGGACACAATATTGGCAACAAGTCAACATGATTTAAGAGCAGCTAGAAACTTCCTGGGAACCTACCATTATAACAGACGGGATCAAAATGCCATCAAGCAAAAGCGTCTGAAATATATTGAGAGGTGCGCCTTGATTTAGTCTACAATTCAGATCATTTTCATATCAAAGGGGCCCCGAGTGGTCTAAAGCGCTGTCCGTTACGGATCACTGCCATCTCAACTCTGCGTGAGTTCGAGTCCAAATTCGGCTAACGTGGATAAGTGAGAAAGCCTGCCAGTAGTTTCTCGTGGGTCGGTCGTTCTTCCCGGGGTTTTTCAGGGTTCTTCCTCCACCATTAATACTGGCCGCCATGTTTATCCTATCTAGTGCTGAAAATGGCGTTAAACACAACAACAACAACATCATATCAACTACCAACTTTGTATTTAATAATATATTTCCAACCGTTTCACTTCGAATTGACCTTGAATTGTGAAGGATTCTATAAACATACTTATGTTAAATGTTTCATTTTTTCTAAAATTGTCTGAAAACTAGTTTGTTTTCTTTTGACACATGGGTTTTGATAGTTGAGCGGTGGAGTAGAAATATTTGTTTTGCAAATTAGGCTGCTGTTAATTTTTTTTAATATCTAGATAGTCCTTGTATGTGCTTAATGCAAAATGCAAAATTATAACCCGTCTCTAATGTATTTGTGTTGTGGGCTTGGGTTGCACCAGGTTTTACAACCGAACAAAGCGCGGAGTAAATGCAATAAATTCGTACAGAATGCTCGCTGTGAGTGGCTTAAAGCCATACTCATTAACTTCAGTATCTATAAAACTGAACAGGGAACTTTCTAGCTTATCTTTTGGATCTATTATCCTAATATCAATTATGCTCTACTTAGATGTATTGAAGCATAAATGTCTACATTATTATGTTTCTAGTACAACGTAGATCCCAGGAACTAACGCCTGATTATTTTGAAGTCAAATGAGCTTTCATTAAATACAATAATGGTCTTTTATGGAGGTGTAATGTGATGTGATTATGATATGCAACTTAGCTTTAACAATTTTTCAGTTATGTCGCTACCATGTCTGCAGTGTGGCAGTTTATAGCGATGTCTAGCACTGGGATATTATGCCACAGACATGTAGCAAGATGTCCCACCCAGTCACATTATCCTGACACCAGGCCGACCAGTCTTAACCCTAACCTCTTAAAGCTGAGCATCAAGCGAGACAGCTGTTAGTACCATTTTTATAAGTCTTTGGTATGACTCGACCAGGTATCGAATTCACGACCTCCCGCATCCGAGGCGGACACTCTAACCACTAGGCCACCTGAGCAGTTTTTTTATGGAATTGTATCGGAATCACACTTTCAAAAATACTGAAAACTAATCATCAGTAAATGAGCTGTAAAGGTTGTCCCTACTGTCTGGTTTTGGTAGTAGGGATTGGGGGTGGGGTGCTTCCAATTTTTATGTAGATTATTGTAGAAGTCCCACCCAGGCTCGATTCTGGTTGGAAGTTGATTTAGTAATAGTTAGATGTACAGCTCCGAGACCCCAGTCTGCAATGCCTACGGTTAAATTATTAAAGATACAAAAAGGTGAAGTTAAATGATAACAATTTAATAACAAATGGTCAAAAAATAGAATTTCCCTAATAAACCCTTTACTAGACTATCGCATCATTTGGTTCGTAGTGTGTTCTACTCATCTGTGTATCCTTCTCTATCTCCTAATTCCTTCTCTTCCTCCCTGACCCCAACCAAGTTCTTTCTCTTCCTCCTCTATTTCCTCCTCCAGACTGCTTTCCTCCTCCTCCACCTTCTATCACACTTCTCTGCGCCGACTACACTTTGTCGACTCTGACGGCACTGTCAGTCTCATCTCTGTACCCCGAAAAACTTCTTGTGAATATACAAGGATGGTACAATATGTTCCTCAGCGCTCACATCTCACACTAAACACAGCCTATCATAAGATAACGACTATTAAATTTTACCGGTCATGCATTTATTCACACCGAAATACGCATACATTCTTGCATCGTAAAACACAACATAACACAACATAAAAAAGGACTGTATCAATTACTCGTATACATACAACAATAAATTGATTCACATCAGTACATACTCATAGTTCCTTTACACAAACCAATAAATAACAATCAGACGCATATCTTTACATCATAATTCATACCAAATATACACATATTCAAATAACCATGCTCTGATATGTTCACACATCTATTGTAACTAATCTTACATACTTCAATCATTTTCCTAAATTCCAATTCAAACATGCGTAAACTCTAACATAACGTATTACTAAAGGTACTGGTTACTAGGAAGTAACCTACATGCGAATTACAATATTACCTCTGACGAGCTAGCAATCTACATAAAAGTCTACGTAAACTCAAATTCATGTCTCAAATACGTATATAAATGGAACACTATAAGGTAGTTCTACATACTAAAACAATCCCAGTAATTAATTATACATGCTACCAATAATTACAGTCATGACGTTGTAATGTTTTGCAAAAGTCGAGCACATAACTTACTGACCTTGTCGAAGCTATGCCTTCTCTCACAATTCTGGTCCCGCCAAGTTACGAGTGGTTTTTCCCTAAGTAATCCTATTTGCACAGCGATCTCTCTAGGCATCTATTGATAATTTTACAGTGAGTTTTAGCTCTAATTATGGTCTAAGGTTTAATCCCACCCTCCATCTTAACTCCATCTGGATTTCGCAGAGGACTGTCCCAATCAAACTTGGTGGATATTGTCTTCTCGCTTGTCTATGTACTTGGCGTATGAGAACAAGACCCGTTCACCCTGCGGGATTGCTTTTGATCTCTGAGCCAGTGTTTAACGCCTGGGTGTGAAGACTACAATAATTTGACTAGCGGCTATTCTATAGTCTGGGTGGCTGGCAACTTGTATAAGGATTAACACTGACCTGCAGTGTTGTTTACACATCAAACTCGGTATTAATATCCAAGTTTATACATTTCTGGTTAACGTGGACTGAGCAATCGTGACATGATACATGCCAAATTTTGAAAGATTCAGACAAACATGATCTGCAATAGTCGGAAAAGGACACGGATTGTCAAGGAATGCAAAACCAAAGTTACAAGTTCTTAAAATATCAAGAAGTTAAATTGATAAAGATAAATTAAAGCCATTAGGATAATATTCCATCTTGCCGTGTGCTTTAAACACCGTAAAACGGCTATAAATTCTTCTTCAATAGAATACTCCTCTGAACTTTATATATATATATATATATATATATATATATATATATATATATATATATATATATATATATATATATATATATCAGTCACAATCCATAATCTGTGAATGATACCGATCTGCGACAATTTATAGAAGAATAATTCGTCATGCCATACCGTGTCAAATAAAGCTGCGCACAATTTTCTTAGTTTTTATTTGCATAGTTAGTTCGTCAACTATAAATGAAATCATATTTGAGCCTATACCCTTCTGAAAGTTTCCTACCGCACCCCTTAGTAAAATAATTAAAACCAAAGTAGGTTCTAAATCTGTTTGAAACCTACTTAATAAAGATTTCTCAAAAACTTTACCAGTAACTGGGAGAAGCGCAAACCTCCAATAAGTGTTCGGATCGCTTTTATTCTTATCGCCTCCATTGAAAATGTTAATATATCAATCCTTTTAATTTGTCTGGAATATGCCCAAGTTGCAATAAAAAAATATCATTATTACAGTGACAAATCTGGCAAGATTTTGGAGAATTCTGCCATTATTGGTGTCAAAAAAGGTTTGTAACTTTACAAAAAAAAGATGGTTTGCGATAATATAACGGTTTTAGAAGCACACCCCTTTCTTTGTGACATTTGATACAAATAAAATAATGGTATTCGTCACCGATGTCATTTTTATCACAATTATATTCTCATTCTTCAACAGTGAATCGTCCCAACGACCGTTTTTTAACGTGGAGTCTGTGATTGGAAGTTATGAACTTTACAAAATTGTATAGAGTTATTTCTAGGTAAGAGTAAAGAGTAGTTCAGGTCTGCTTTAACAATGGTAAATTTTCTCCTTGGATGATAATTAACCGACAATGGCCATTCTTTTGTATAAAAGTATTTTAAAGCTGATGCTCTCATGCGTTTGTTTCCTTTCGAAACATTATTAAGAAAATGTATGACTGGTCTCACTACAGTTCCTACAGTGTTCTTTATGATATTCGTCTATTTATAAGTATTAGCGTAGGCATTGGTCCCATAAAAAGTATTTGATAAAGGAGTATAGAGAGTCTATCCCATTTAACATTGATTATGGACATCTCATTCGTGATCTGATTAATTTACCCATACATTTTCTTCCTAGTTCTGAATAATGCTTATAAGCGAGAGTTCTTTTCCTCTCACTTCGATTTGAAAATTTTCAATAATTGTGGCACTTTCAAATCTCCAAAACTTCACACACTTATAAACGGGTATTTGAGAAGAAAGTAGAATCGTATTTTGTATCTAAAGTAGATGGAAGACCTTTGTAAGTGATATTTAATTTGAATTAACAAAGCTGTAAATTTCAGAATAATAACACTAAGAAAAATGACACCAAGATATTTAACTTCAGCACATGTCTATTAGATTATCGCCAATTTATTCGTTGTATGTATGTATGTATGTATGTATGTATGTATGTATGTATGTATGTATGTATGTATGTATGTATGTATGTATGTATGTATGTATGTATGTATGTATGTATGTATGTATGTATGTATGTATGTATGTATGTATGTATGTATGTATGTATGTATGTATGTATGTATGTATGTAAGTATGTCTGATGTGTCGAATTTTGAAAACTCTTAGAAGCTTTGGTTAAAGGAATTGTATCAAAGTCAACTTAATTAAAGTAGAAAGGGCTAGAGATAGTTAGATGATTATTTTCATTTCATCTCTGAACGTCTAAAGGGAATTTGTTCCACCTGACGTAACATGACCGAGTCAGATGCTATGGTACAAGAGAATGACATAAGACCCTTCCCCAAAATTGATCGGTTAAAGGGCGGAAGCTGGCCATAGATGATTGTTCAATGGAATGTTAATTACGGCATGATTAGTTGTTTAGTTGTCTTGTCAATCCAAAAATTCTACTGAACAGGTTTAGGAAAACAGTCTATTTCGATTGGTTAATATGGATTTATGGGCGTAACTCTGTAAGAAATTAAAGGTTTTACTTTATGAAAATTCAGCAGTCCTTCAATCTTTCTTGAAAAAGAGTGGTCTACTCCGGGAGCGTGTATGACGTTATCTCGTGATTTGGCAGCAAAGCGGGAGTTTTGTCTCAGCGGGTAGACAAACTCTACATTTGAATTCGTAACAAGTACGTTTTCGTTATAGAGTAAGGGACCAGATAGTTGTCTCAGTTACGAAACCGACTATACTTGAGGTTCGTGGAAACGAATAAAGAAAACGGCAAAAGGTACGCAATCTTAGTTTCCCGATTTTAATGTTATTTCATTTGTTGATATATTTGCAAATGTATTCTTGATATGATGCATGTATGTATGATTTCATTTTGCAGGACTTTAATGAAATGCTAGTCATGACATTTTATTCTTTGATTTCCTAATTATTAATTCATTTGGAGAATTGGAAAGACTGAACGTAATTAAAATTTCATTAGATTAGTTGACAAGATTGCATGTAATTGAATCTTTAATACATAGGAGTGATTAGGAATTTTCATGAATTAAGCTTAAGGAAGGATGGGTAATCTTTCATAGTTTTATGGATTAACTCTGTCTAGTATGATATAATATGAAATGTATATCCATATACTAGTTTGTAATATTTAATTGATCACTTAAGTGTATATCTATATGCTAGTTTGTAATATTTAATTGGTCGAGTAAACTATTTTAGAATAGTTAGATCTGAGGGTCTAAGCCATATGTAACTTAACACTGCTAGATTTGTAGAGTAAGAAGTCATGGGGGGTTACATACGGGTTCATACGGCTGAGTTGAATTTAATTGACCACCCCTAACGTGATCCGAATTAAGGTCAGGACAAGCCTTGAACATCTATGTAAACATAAGAGTTAGAGAGCAATGAGTTACTGCGGCAGAATTTATGCCTTTTGTTTTCTGAGTCGAATTAATGTAAAAATACAGATATACTTGGGAATGTGACCTATTGTCTATTGCGAGACATTTTATTTATTGAAGGAAACAGCTTTCCTGGATTCACCTGAGAAACCCCTAAACCAATCACAGGATCCGAGCAAATTCTAAGCCGAAATCTAAGTCCAGAGACGA